CTTAGGGCATAATGTTTCTTCTAAAGAAAAGTGGGAAAGGTGTTGGCATGTCTAGCAAATAAGGGCTAGCACTGGGTCTTGTTCAGCTAAATTCGTTTTAATTAAAAAAAATTCTTTGCATGTTGTATGTATTCTAAGTTTGTTTATGTTTAATCATTCCAATGCTAGCTTCAGATGACACACACATTGCATTGCACACTTGATTGCAAGGCCAGGCTGAGTCAGGCTAAGAGTCAGGTCTTTATCTGTTCACTCAGAAGTCATGCTTACAAGGTTGAGGGATGATTCAATAAGTGACTGTAGAGAGACACACACACACACACACACACACACACACACACACACACACACACACACACACACACACACAGAGAGAGAGAGGGAGACAGCGACAGACAAATGCTAGTACTTTATAGGTGTAACGATAACTGAAGACCAAAGATGCAGGTTTATTTCAAAGACTCAAAGAAAGATATTATGTGTAAGCTGGTTGCAAATAAACGAGATATCCTTAGAGCAACTGTTTATTCTTATTTATGTCTCAAGTGCAGTGTTCTCTTAAAGTTTGCAAAAAAATCCTAGCAAAAGTTTGATTAATTTTCAACATACAGCATACATACCTGTACACATTCACATACATAAATAAACAGTTGAAGTCAGGATTATTAGCCACCCTGTTTATTTTTTACAAAATATATGTTTACTGGAAAGAAGATTATTTTCAACACATTTCTAAACATAATAGTTTTAATAACTCATTCCTAATAAATGATTTATTTTATCTTTGCCATGATGTCAGTAAATATTATTTTATACCAGATATTTTTTAAGACACTTCTATACAGCTTAAAGTGACATTTAAAGGCTTAACTAGGTTAATTAGGCAGGTTAGGGTAATTAGGCAAGTCATTGTGTAACGACAGTTTGTTCTGAAGACAAAAAAATATATAAATTGTTGCTTAAAGTGGCTAATAATTTTGTCCTTAAAACAGCTTTTAAAAAATTAAAAACTGCTTTTATTCTTGCAGAAATAAAACAAATAAGACTTTCTCCAGAAGAAAAAAACAGTGTCAGACATGCTGTGAAAATGTCCTTTCTCTGTTAAACATCATTTGGGAAATATTTAAAAAAGAAAAAAAATTCAAAGGGGGCTAATAATTCTGACTTCAACTGTACAGTTTAAGTCAGAATTATTAGCCCTCCGGAATTATTAGACCTTCTGTATATTTTAAATATACTTTACAGAGATATTTTTTCAACAAATTTCTAAGCATAGTTTTAATAATTTCTACTAACTAATTTTCTTTGCCATGATGACAGTCATGATGAAAATGCATGACAGTGCATTTTATTGCTCTAGATATTTTTCAAGACCTTTGTTTTCAGCTTAAAGTTATTATTAAAAATATTGCTTTAAAGGGGATAATAATATGATAATAGTAAAAATAATAAAAATATAATATTATAAAAAGGGCTTAAAATGGTTAAAAAAAAATTAATGCTGGTTTTATTCTAGCCAACAAGTAAGATTTTCTCCAGAAGAAAAAAAAAATGTAGTTTGGAAAATACTGTGAAAAATTATTTGCTCTGTTAAACATTATTTGATTTATCTGAAAAAGAAAAAAAAATCACAGGTGGGCTAATAATTTTGACTTCAACACTACATATATAACAAAGTTTGATTTATGTGAGTGAGGAAGAAGGCAAGGTGGGCGACTCAGGTAAGAAACAAACACATTTTATATTTAAGGAGCTCTGGCAGCTTCTGTACCGTCTGTCTATCCCAATTACTGCAAAGAAACAGGTGTTATTATTTTTTCTTAATTAGGCCAACTTTTTTAGCCGCCAGTCTCCTTAATGTGCTCTCCTTCTATGTGGGTTGTTTGACCAAGCCCCCCTTGTGACTACATGTAATGCAATCGCTGGTTGCTGGTGACATTGGGCCCTATTATAGGGCACTGTTGGTGCGTTGCTTTTTTGAGGAACTAAAGCTAAAAGCAGGTCTAAAGTCCAGCGCAGAGCGCGTTAGTTGTGCGCCTCACTTACACATTGCTTAATACACACAGGATGTACAGCAATACACCAATATCTTTACAAATGAAAAGTCATTAAAAGATTAAAAAGTTACAAAAATTGTAATTTTTTTTTACGTATAAAAATCTCTGCCTCTATGCCTTCATCTCGAGGGGCTTTTATCAGTTTATTCATGACAACTTGCTTTTGTTTAATGTTAATATTAATCTCTGTATAAATTATTATATACATATTTATGTTTGCTTTAATAAAAACAAGTTTCGATTTGTCTAGCTGTTTTTTAGTCCTGTGTGTTTAGTCTTTTATATGTCTCCAGTTTTTAGAGACATATGCGTCACCATATGGAGCATAAGAATAGGACGTGTTTTTGGATATAACTCACACTAACTTTTAATTAATTCATTTACATAATTTAGAAATAGTTTTGAAACAAATCTTTGTACTTAACAAACAAAATTAAATATGTAGGCTAATGGATGCCTTCAGTGGAGTGTGCACAATACTGTTTCTTTACTCCATGAAAGTAAATGAGTAAATAGTGAAAGTAAAGATAATGCTTTTGCGCCATTCAATTTAGACTTTGCACCTAGATCAATAAAATAGAGCCCATTGAGTGTTAAACTTGGATATGTTCATTGGTGAGCCATTATATTACGACTGCTTCCAGATTAGAACAGTGGTCACAGCTAGCAAGCAAATAGTGCCACAGGTGCAGCTGACAGAGCGGTGTATAAACCACTCAAGGACTGGCTTTTGGTCAGTAGTGTTTGTTGTAAGAATGGTAAACGTTCAAAAAGGAACAATTTGCGATGGCACAGTGCCTCTGACCTTCAGCCTTTTGGAATGTAATATAAATGTGTCAGCTGTTGCCTTGGAAAAGAAAGTGTAAAATATGTATCAAAAGTTGTACATGGATGACCAAATGACAGATTGCCGTGCTGCATTGTCAGAGCAGAGACTGTTGTGAAGTTGTGCATTGATCACATTGGCCACAGTGCAACAAATCATCAGCAGTTAAAACAGTAATGACCAGGACAACCTGTCACAGCACACAGTTCATCACCGCCTTGGATTTATCTATGTATGGGCCTGTATAGCCAACGGCAGAGTCAGTTCTCATGCCATCACTCAAAACCAATCACCAAAAATCATTGTAGCGAATTTGCTCAAATAGGGCTTTGCTTAAATGTACATATTCAATATTTCGCTTTTAACTTGAACAGTAGCTGACAATTTAATCAATATATTCTATTGATTCAAAGCAAAATGAATATTTTGTTCTGGCTAAGAGAAATTGTCTTGGTGTTCACAGTACTGACAGTTATAGAGCCTGTAGCAAAACTGTCATGTAGAGGGTTCAATGATGCAAAAACTGACAATCAAACGTGTGTACAATCACTTAATTATGACTACAGGGAATGGACAAATAGTATATAAGTACTTAAGCAAGACACATAAAACAGAGAAAAAGAGAGAGAAGCAGAAAGAGAAGGGTAGAGAGTGAAATCATCTGGGAAATCTGAAACACTTTGATTTGCAAGGGGCGCAGTTTTGTTATTGCATTTATTACAGTTAAATGGTTGGTTTTCTTTCAGTGGTTTTTGGGGTGGTGGTCATGGGTAGATTGCTAGGCGACCATCAACCATTTTGTCAGAGGATGACAAGCTGACAAAACATCGATGCAACTCTGATACAAGAAAGATTAAAATTAAGACAATTAAAAAGCATTGCTGTGCTACCCAAATGTGTATATTTCAAACAAAATATGAAGTTGATCGGTCAGTTCTTGTCACGTGACACTCAGGGGACTCTCAGCAATCTAAAACTGTTTTCAACTGTGCTCCCAATATCGCGCCTCCATCAGAAATAACAAAATTGTGCATGGAAAAGACTGAATATGTGAGTGGCTGCCATCATTTAATATTTTAAGTTATCAATCTACTTCTTGCGCAAACATGCAGGATTTAACTGGTTTGCTGACATATGGGTTGCAGATCTATTCCTTGGCAGTTTGTGGGTCCTTCACTGGTTCCGGTACTGGTCCGTGAGGCCGGGGATGGTGAACCACTGTTATCAGCTTACAGTAGCTGAAAACTTAAATGTCTGTGAGGCTTTAGAAAGACTTGTTTGCCATAAAATGTATAGGAGAGGGTTGGTTTGGGGGATTCCTGATGAATGTGCCAATGTTCAAGAGATTAGCAGCGGTGTTAAGTGGTGCATGACTTTTTTTTTTTTTCAACACTTTAGGCCCAGTTATCCCTGACAGCTATCAGTTATTTAATATTGTTCCACACTGTAAAAAATGTTTGTGAAAATAACAGTGAAATTCTGTAAAATTGTGACATCTAAATTTTGTAAATAGAAAAACAATGAAACAGCGTTAAATTTACAGTATGCTTTTGTAAAAAATAAAAATACAGTTGTAAAATGTTAAACTAAATTAAACTGTTAATTGTACTGTAAGACTGTGTATCAATAACAATGTTTATTTGTAAAATTTACTGATCACTGTTAATTGAATAGTAAAAACATGTAATACTGAAAACTGCTGTAAAAATTACAAAATGATACTAAACAAACAAAAATCAGCTATTACAGATAAAAAAGCAAGTGTAAGCAAGTAGAACTATCACAAATGTTATCCTACATGACATATTTACAAGTTTTAAATGAGGGGTTTTAAGGCAATGTGTCTGTTTAGAATTGTCCTTATGGTCTATAAGCTATTTTAGCTTTGCTAATTATCATATTTAATGTAGGCTTACATAGAAAGATAAGGGTTATTTGTCCCCAAGGGTCCTTTATTTTTGCGATGTGTTTCTATTTAAAATGTATGCTTTTGCGTAAATTAACGTCTGCGTTTGAATTTCAAACTCTGTTCTGCCTTGTCCAATCACCAATCTGATTCTTGCGGGAGCAGCCATTTTACAGATATTGTTTGTGAGAGCGCGCGCTCAATCTGTCCTGCCCGCGAGAAAAAGCTGTGGAAGACGTCTTGCAGCATTTCTAACTACCGAGGCACTGGTAAGTTTAGTAAAAAGTTGGTTTACTTTGTACTTTAAACGCTTTACCATACAAACACCTGCAAAAAAGGAGAGGGTATTATTTGGGGTGTTGCACGGTCTTCGGAATAATAATCTGTGTTACAATGCAAAGGTAACTCGGCCACTTGTCGTATCGTCCGACTAACGTAAAGCTGAAAAAACTGAAGATTTTGTTAGAAGTCTAAAGATGATTAACGTTACGTGTCATTTTTGCAACAAAACACTTGACACACTGAGACGTTAACGTTATGTGTTGCATTGTAAAGTTCACAGAAACGAACCCCATTGTTTTTTCAAATGTGTTATTGCTGGCTGTATGCGAACATTTTGCGCTTACGCTGCATTAAAAGCACATGTCTATAGGGATCACATTGAGTTTGCCTCAACCGTTAGTACTAAAGCAGTTTTTGCTGATTTAAATGTTCCATTTTGTTGTGTGACCGCACGTTTAACACGGCTAAAGATTTAATAAGCCACTTAAAAGAGCATTTAGCAGATGGCCGACCTGTGTCTTGTCCAGTAACGGGTTGTAATACTTTTACAATCAATCGTCTTTTACAACTCACATGATCAGGAAGCATAGAGCTGCTTCAAATGATACTATAAGTGATAATACCCATAATTTGGGTTCACACGCCATTGGTGGGTCAACTGAAAATTTCAGTCATGCTCAATATTTTTGCAGGTATTGTGAAATCACAAGAAATGAATTTCAGAGCGATAACTTAAATGTTTGTGGTCCACAGTGAACCTCTGAAACTTGATTCTGTTGTTCATGATTTACAATCTGAAGACTATCAAGAGATCAAAGGAATAAAGGTAAACTCTGCTGTTTTCAATACTTGAAATCTTTCCATGCCTGCCTTTTTACCCAAGTCTTTACAGTGAATCAATCAAACATGCAGTGAATTTTTTCTTTTTAGAGTTTAATACTACTGACAGAAATAATGTATAAAGGAACATCATACAAAAAGGGACATTTTCTTGTGTCTAAAAATTATGAGTTTGATTTTGGAGAACTTCTCATCATTTTAATTCAAAATGGCGAAGCTGTGTTTTTGTAATGAGAATACAAAGAGCTGAATATCATTTTGAATACCATCTGTACTCTATGACTAAACAGAGTAACTGGCTACAGTGTCTTAGCATTAATGACTTGGTTGATTTTTATCCGCTAATATCATACTTTGGTAATGGGTACCAAGTCATTCTGCTGAAACACAGCGTGCTGTTGAAGTAAAGAGATCTTGTCCACAGAGGTGGAAAAAATATGGTAAAAATCATCATGTATGCTTAGTTAAAATAATAGGTAGTTTAAAGAGATAGTTTTCCCCAAAATTTTAAGTGTTGATATCATTTACTTAACCTTGACTTTTTCTTTTTTTCAAACCTGTTTGGGGTTTGTTTGTTTTTGTTTTTTTTCTCAAGAGGATATTTGAAGAATGTTGTAACTGTTGACTTCTATAGTATTTCTTGCTACTATAAAAGTTGATGATTACAAGTTTCCAACATTCTGTCCCCCCCCCAAAAAAACTCAAACTGGTATTAAATGTGTCAAGGGTAAATAAATTATACATTTCAAATTTTTAGGTAAACTATCTCTTTAAAATAATAGTAAGATCTGAATTTTTGTTTTATTTGCATTTAGATGAACAGAAATAAACTCTTAATAAATGTAATAACTACATGTTTAATCACTACTTGCTTAATTTCAGTATTGACTGACTTGGAGACAACATTTCTTCGTACTGCCATCACAGAGGTCTTGCCTAACCTTCCAGAGGCAACAAAAGATATTTTAGAGGAGTTATTGCAATCCATTGGAGTGGAGACATATGATGATTTTCAGTTTATTGAGGAATCTGATTTGCTGACAGCATTGAGGCCAATCCAAGCTCAAAGTTCTTGCTGCTTGGAAGTTAAGATGTAAGTCGTGTTACAGAGCAGAATGCTACAAGACAAGTTCACAAAGTAACAGGTGTAAAAAGGTCTTGAAAAGAAAAAAAAAAAAACTTTGTTACTGACTATTGTTTGTGTATGATCTTTTGCAGGCCAGACACCAGAAACAAGCAGCTCATCACAACCTTCCACAGCCTTCCATAGTTCACCTGCAAGTTCTCAATCGTCCTCCACCAGCAGCTCCCAAAGCCCAGATGTAGACTGGGTGGATACGTTTCTGATACCATGGGATACATTTTTTGGAGAGAGGAAAACTACCAAGTTCACGAATGAGAAGAGAGATGGTCCGAATTGTGGTAAATGAGATTCTTCACTAAAGAATAGTACCCTGGCCCAACCACACCCCCATCTATTACTCTGTATACTTTGCTAGCAGTGTTTTTGAATTCAATTCACTGGACATATCCAGTTTGTAAAAGTACAGTTTCAAGTTTTCAGGAAGAAAAAATTCAGAACATCAAACTCAATATTCTAAAATTCTAAACCAGACATTCAGATTGTGAAATTCAGATTCAGCAGAAAGTAGGTCAGGAGTCATCAACAGGGAAGAGTAGACGATCACTGAAAAGTTAAAGCTAAAATTAAGCATTTCGGCTATTCACAGAGCTGTGTGAGTTTACTGGTGTATTTGAGGCTCAGTAGGACACAATTCTTCTGCAAACTGACTATCGGAGTCCGCTATTTTTCAGTAGTTTGTGTAATAAATATGCTTCAGTGAACTAAATTCATATATTTAATTCAGTTACATCTCATTGATTAATCAGTTTCATTTTCAAACTCCCTGCGCTTAACAGCTGTGGTAAATGACATATTTGCATGCTCCTGCTTTTTTGTCAAATTATATAGGATATTTTATTGTTAAATTTCATAAAATTATATAAAATATTTATTACAATATTTATAGTACAGCATAACGTATAGTATTTTTAGGAAGATTTGAATGATGTTTGGCCAAAGCCTATCATCAACACTGAAATGCTGCCCGTTTTAAATATCTATTGGCATCCAAAATGTCATATTTAACCTTGCATTTATATTTATTTGAATGATCAGATTTTTCCATATATTTAAAAATATGACATTATTTTTTAGCTAAAATACGTTGAAACCAAAATGTCCAATAGGTGGCGCCAAATCCCTATCTTTGTCATTGAATTGTTCATTCAGAGTCGTTCGATTCAGCTCATTTATAAATGAATTAAGTGACTCACTATGAATGACTCGCTCAGAGATTCTTGGTAACCTCATTTGTCCAAGTGCTTTAAACTTTGTTTCAAATGGTTACAACATAAGAGGTGGTAAGTTTATTGTTGTGAATAATGTACAGCGAAAGCCACTTGATTTTTCAACTTTTTTTTTTATGTGACCCGAAACTAAAAGCATCCTTCCCCTAGACAACCCCCCCCCCCCCCCCCCCCACCCCCCCCCCGACCTACTGTCTGCTGAATCTGAATTTCACAATTTGAATTTCTGGTTTTGAATTTTACAATATTGAATTTGATGTTCTATATTTTTTGTTCGGAAAACTTGAAACGTCTATAAAAAAATTTCAGCCTTAAAAAATTTAGTTGTCTTAAATTTCAGATGTTCATTATTCAAGTTAAGAAATTCAAATTCAAATTTTTTTACGGCATATAAAAATTTAGATTTATAGAATTACAATTGTCAATAATTCAAACTAACACAATTCAAATTCAGATTGGAAAATCATATTATTAGCTCCATAATTTACAATAAGAATAAATGTGTTACCATTAGTAATCATGAATGTACAACAATACTTATATGGTGTTTAATAATTGTTGTTACTAGAATTATTATGTATTTCAAGATCAAAGACTTTCATGATAACATTTAATATAATAGTAACATAAATCTTGTAAAAGATTTTTTAATTTGTTTGTATTTTTTACTTTTATGGTATTATAAATAAATACCAAATGTAACTTTTATTTAACTTTTTTCTTAGGCCAATCCTGCTTTTCATCGAAGCGTTTCCTGCTGTGTGTGGATCGAAATGTTGTACATGACAACATCCCCTCCTTTATTTCTGCCCTGTGCATGATGTTTGGGAGCTATTATTGCTTCGACATCCATTACCCATCAGAGCTGGCATCAATCTTGGAGTTTTTGCAGAAGTATGTGTTTTTGTACAGGCTTTATACAACATTGAAGTGAAAAAAATTAAAGTAATTGATGCAGTGGCTTTTTATGAATACTTAAATTGCTAATGCAAAGTTTTCTTTTTATTTTCCTTGGTTTATATGTATAGGTTAATACATTTCACTATAGTTTCAATTAAAAAGGTATTTTTCCCCAAAAAAATAAGTTGTTTTTTTTTTATCATTAATACTATTTAATTTTTTCTCTTTTTTGCCCAGGTGTTTCTTCTCTATCAACCCAGAGAAAGGCACTAAAGTGGAGAAGACAAACACAGCCCGTCTTCATGTGAACCCAAGAGTTCTTACCTTGATCCAGGAACTTTCAGATCATGAATGGCGTGACGTCTAAATATGGACTGAAGTCAGTAAGATTTGACATACAGTGAATGCCAGTTTCTCAGGTTTGTTTGATCTGCCATGCTTAATGTATGTGTTTAAGTTAGTACACAACTATTAGCGTTTTTATCTAGTGTTTTCTGAATTAGGTAATTCCTGAATTGGTTGTTTGTATGGAATATTTGTTTATAAAACAACTCTTAAATCGATTTAAAAGAAAAGTTGGTAGCACTTTAAAATAACTACAAACTATGAACCATTTATTAAGCATTAGCATATAGTGAATTAATTTACTGTTGAGCATTAACTCTACTATAATAAACATTAGTAGACAGTTTATAGCTACAGCTAAAAATGCTGTATTCTTGACTTAAAAGCATGTGTATTGTGCTTAATAATTGTGTTTTCATACTTGGTTAAAGATTCTTTTTTCATTACTAAATTAAGTATAGTATTATTTACAAACCAGTTATTTAAGAGTAGTTGGTGGTTTTTTTAAGATCATTCAGAATGCGTAAGTTAATTATTAATAAACTATTGAAATCAACATTTATATATCTTATTATTCGGGCATATATTAATAGTTAATTTGTATGTTAATAAATGCTTTATTAACTCAACTTCATCTAGTTTTGTGACCTAATCTAAAGTGAGGACTATTTATGCTTTATAAATCCCTTATTAAATTCTTAACAGGAATTATTTTTTTTAATTTGAAGAAACACAAATGAAACTCTGTCAAATGAAAAATTAATCTTTGCAATCTTATGTAAAATAAAATTACTGTACAGTTTAAACATTGCTAAATAATAAAATGTTGCATCCTATTATATTGTTAAATTATATTGTTGTTTAATCCAATTTTATGTCATTATGACACTCCTGTTATTCAGTAATGTTTAAACTTTACAGTAGTTTAACTTTTTAGATCAGATTGAAAAGATGTATTGGTCATTTTATACTGAGCCTTTATTAGTCATTTATAAGGGATTTATAAAGCATAAATAGTCCTCACTTTAGATTAGGTCATAAAACTGGATGAAGTTGTGCTAGTAAAGCATTTATCAACATACATGGTAACCATTTCTATATGCCTGAATAATAAGATATATAAACATTGTTTTCAATGGTTTATTAGTCATTTACTAACTCACTCAATTGTCTTAAATATCTCCAACTGCTCTTAAATACAAATGGTTCGTAAATAATGTGATACTTAATTTAGTCATGAAAAATCAATTACTCACAAATTATGAAAGTACAACTATTAAACACATTATAAATGTGCTCATAAGACAAGAATACAGCATTTGTAGCCTTGTATATAAACTGCTTACTAACGTCTGTTAATGTAGAGTTAATGCTTAACAGTTAATGTTAATAGCTATTATTGTTAATAGCATATAGTGAATAGTTAATTCACTATATGCTAATGGTTGATAAATGATTCATAGTGTGTAGGTATTACAAAGTGTTACCGAATATCTTTCATTTTATTGCCATTTAAATTTTAGTTTCACTGGCAATGTCTCCCATGTCTTTGTCTATAATTTTCCTTATTTGTTTTTTTAAAGAAGACAATCATTAATCTGTCACATGCTTTCAAAATGGTGAATGTATAGTTTGTAAGGAAAGTAAGCAATACAAATGTGAACTGACAGACAATGTTGACTTGTTTATGGTTAATAAATACAAATTATAATTTGGTTACTAAGTCTTTGAGTGCTGTTTCTGGTCTAAGCATATCTAGAATTTATATTCCTAAGTAATGTGTAACATACAAGTTATCGTATTAATGGTCAAGGGTAAAGCAAATGATTTACAGTTGCTACTGAAATCAAACTATGTTCAGTATACGAAACAACATTGGTCTTCTTAAAATAATTGGTTTAGGTGTAGTTGTGCCATTTCAGAAAAGATTTACTTGTTTACTTTTTGATAATTATGAATAAACAATTGACTAAAGTGATGATTTTATGCTGTTAAGTTGTTTATATTTTACAATGTATTTTTGTTACATAATTATTGTGGCAACCACAGCTGCCAGATTAGTTATTCTATATGTTCAACAGTTTTAAATTGTAAAGAGGTTTACATTTTTATTGTAATTTTTACAAAATTATTCTGGCAACCACAGCTGCCAAAATATTTTTGTAAAAACAACAAGATTTCTTTGTTAAAATACTAAAAATGTAATTATTTCTTACACAAACTTTCTGTAAATTTTACATAATATTAATTTGTTTTTACATAATTATTCTGTACATAAACAGTTTTAAATTGTAAACCGGTTTACAATTTTATTGTATTTTTTACAAAATTATTCTGGCAACCATAGCTGCCAAATTTTTTTTGTAAAAACAACAAGATTTTTTTGTTAAAATACAAAAAATTTTATTATTTCTTACATAAAATTTCTGTAAATTTGACATATTATTAAATAGTTTTTTACATAATTATTTTGTACATAAACAGTTTTAAATTGTAAACAGGTTTACAATTTTATTGTATTTTTTACTAAATTATTCTGGCAACCACAGCTGCCAAATTTTTTTTGTAAAAACAACAGAATTTTTTTTACAGTGCAAGCTGTCTTTTGTCTGTTGCAAATGAATAAGTAAAAGTTAGCTGACCCTATACTGTGTGAAATAGAAATCTGGTCCAGTATAAATTCAGTAATCAGCAATCAAAGCTGCCAGGTGGGCATATTTTGACTGTGATGTGAATATATTATTATGCAATCAAAAATAAAAAAATAAAATAAAATAAATGCTGGACTTCTTATTCCTTGATGCTTGTCATTTTTTGGGTGCTTTAGTGTCTCTTCTTGTCTGAACAGACAAGAATATGTCATAAAATTGACAGGTATGCTTGTTGTCGAAATCTGGCTACATCACCTGCAAAGTAGTTGGTTCTTAGTATGTTAGTGAAGCTAAAGTTAACACACAAAAAATAAACAGAACTCTTGCAGTGCTGTCAGCATTTGTGATCAGAAGAGTTATGGACCTTTTTAAACAACAAATGACATTGCTTAAATATTGTTGTTGTGCGGCAGCTATGGTGGGTGTTGAATAAATCACCATTAACAAAAAGGTCAGGTGAGCTTCAGTAGAGAATTTTGCATGCCACTATTGCTTTTAATGCTTTTGTTTCTGTCATTAATCTTAATGCACACATTGTGTGTGAATAAAGCAGTGCAACAGTTGTTGATGTTGTTTAAAGGGTTGGTTTATAGGCAGAACTCTGGTTTCAAAGCCTTGGTAGTGAGAGCTTGTTATAGCAAAGGTGTTATTTGCAAAGAAATAGGAAATGGAAAGGAAATTCATGTTTTCACCAGTGTTAGAGCAAATGTAATATTAAGAGCAGCAGTGTAGAGTGTTTTCTTGGAACTGGTTCATTTTTATTTGGTGTTTGTATTGGCATTTGTTGTAAGCTCTGCAGTAATGATAGACGATATTGGAATCAAATGGCATTGCAGTATTTATTTTATTTATATTGTTATATTGGAAATATATTCACCAGGAATGTTCACTAGATGACCCAAATACTATTTTATAGAATATAAAATAAATTATGAAAATAAATAAGAATTATGTATAATTAATGAGTCTGGAGCGAGTGGGGTTATTTTGAAAGGTTTTATCTTTGAATAAAATATGTTTAGCTTTCAAGAACAATGATTTTTATTTCTTGATATTCATATTTGAGTAAGCTTTACAGAAAGGATTACGCAGTTTCAGTCCTTCAGAGATTCAAGCAGGTTTTATTATAAACTTGTTGTTTCTGTGGAGTTATCTAGTCATTTTAAAAGACTAATTCAGCTCTAAAAGACTAAATTATCATGGACATAAATACATTTTATTATATATGATAAATATATTATGATACATATATACAATGAATGAATATCATTTTCCTCATTATTATTAATGCGGCATAGTGGCTCAGTGGTTAGGACTGTCACCTCATAGCATGAAGGTCACTTTATCAAGTCCTGGCTTGACCAAATGGCATTTCTGTGTGGAGTTTGCGTGTTCTCCCCATGTTTGTGTGGGTTTCTTCCGGGTGTTCCGGTTTCCCCCACAGTCCAAAGACATCAGCATAAGTGAATTGGGTAAACAAAATATTGTCCATATGTATAAGTGAGTGTATGAATGTTAGAGTGTATGGGTGTTTCCCAGTGCTGATTTGCAGCTGGAAGGTTATTCACTGTGTAAAAAAAAATGCCAGCATAGTTGGTGGTTTACTCCACTGTAGCAACCCCTGATAAATAAGGGACTAAGATGAAGGAAAAGTAATTTTAAAAACAATAATTTTTCATTTTCAACAGTTTTCTATTAAGCTTTTATTTTGAAAGCTTGTCTGCAAATACAAAAAAAAAAAAAAAAGTGCTGCCAGTTTATTTTAAGATTTTATTTTGGTTATTTGGTATATATATATATATATATATATATATATATATATATATATATATATATATATATATATATATATATATATATTTTTTTTTTTTTACTTTAAAATACGCATCCTAATAAATTTATCTTCATATGGTTTCCAATCAAGCTTTCATAATGAAAGGTTGCCTGCAAATACACATTTGTGTTGGCGGTTAGTAGGCGTGTCCTGATCAGGTTTATTTGCCATCTATTCCAAGTACTTTAATTTTGATTATCTACCGATACCATCTGTTATATACCGATATATCACTCTTACCAGTCCTTACTTTTTATTTGCGTCTAATACCCCAGTTTGTCACGGGGCATGAATGAAATGTTCGTGAGTTAAAGTGAAACTGCGTAACTGCAGTTAAAGTCAGGCATCCTGCTGATTTGATTCAGAAGGGCACTGAATGAATGAATGAATTCGTTTGAATGAATGAATTCGTTTTTCCAGCTTACACTTTAACAGAGTGCAGGTTGTATTTTTAGTACTTTAGTTATTCTCCAACAATTAGCACTTTTTCTGATTGTGTTTATTAGTGTGAGCAAATGTCATCGATTTCTCTGCAAACTCCGGAAGATTCTTAATAACTGCGTTCTGCTGATGTTGAGAAATAGCAATCTGAAAATAGTCTGAAGTTCGGCTTCGATCCATAAACAGTCAGAATTCTCCCCTGTAAGATTTTCCCTCCACCAATCAATCAATCTTAAGAAGTCCCAGTAATGAAGCGATATTGTCACAATAGGCGCTGAATTCAATAACGTCCACCGAGATCTGGCACTAGTATGCTAACTGCCGTCGATAGCTTAATTACACGCATTAGCTCTTTCTCTCACACCCACCGAAGAGTGCATTAGCCTCTTTTTATTCTTGCCAAGAAAGTGATTCATCAATAAACGCTCGCACAGTCTTGGACGTGCTCACGTTAGCTGAAGATAGACCCTGGAGTGAGGACAGGAACAGA